ATGATACAAAAAGAAAAAGAGAAACAGCCTTTCATGGAGAAGATTTTAGAATGTAATGCTTTTCCTCAGAATAGCTAATAATTAGTTAACTATTTAGAAAACCCCATAGCTGTTGTCAGGAAAATATGGGTAAGCATAGTAAAATGTATTAGCCCAATACACTGTCTCCATTTTATTCTGAAGCTGCTGAGAAAGCAGTGATATAGAGCACTGTCATTACAGATCTATTGTTATAAGGGTTCCACAGTTTTCTGTGTACTGCCATTAATTTATAGTAGAAAACAATATGTAGCCTTCCAAATGCAGCAAAGCAGAATCTTTTAATGAGGTGGATGTTATTACCACAATAAATCAGTGCATTTGTGTAATGTATAATTCAATGTGTTATTCCCACTGTAACTTCTCTGAGTAAGCTGATAGTGTATCATTGTCACCGCACAGTCTTAGAGTCCTTTATTTCTAAGACCTTCCTCCATTTGGTGATCTTTTTTCTAATTTGTCTGCAAATAAATGTGGAATGGTTTGATAGTTGTCCTATTGCCAGGTTCTTGAAACCCAGTGTTAAAAACAGGAGGATTAAAAATCAATAGGGTAGATTCTTGTTCACCATATGATACTTATATTCTTTTTTCAAAAGAGAGTTAAATCAATTCTAACTGGTTTTAGCTTTATATTCAGCAGATGTAATTTTATAACTATTGATCGGTAGTAGTCATTTGGAGATAATAAAAACGAGAGCAGTTAAAAGCATCCATTTGAAAAGCGTTAGTGTTATGTAGATGCTGCACCAAAAAAGCAAAAACATCCACTCTAATATCTTTTTTATAAACAAAAGCTAGAGTGCCTGATTACCACAGAGCAAAAACTAAGTAGTATTTATAATGGTTCATTGACAATAAATAAAATAATTAAAATTTGAATAAGCTATTTTTTCTTCTCTTTCAACTCCTTGGTAAAAGGAATATTCATTGATTTTTTAAATTTTTTAAATCAAATTTCCTACCAGGGTATGTTTTAAAAGGCCTATTTAGATCTGATAGTATATGGGGGAAGAAATAAATGTAACAACATAGTTACATTATCAAATAACAAAGTTAATTATATTGTCTGCTACCAATTTGTAGTTCATTTTTAATTTCTGTGTTCTAAGTATTAGATCACTGAAATTATCACATGATGATATGTCAAAATCAGCAAATGATGTAATATACAACCATTATTGTTTTGGTTTGATGAATTCCAATAAATAAATAAATAATCACAGGACTATGTGGAAATATCTTCAAAAGTTCAAGAGGCATTAGCTTCTCTAGTGCCTTTATTACAGAAATATTTGTACTATCCTCATCTCACCATTACTGTATAAATAAGGTGCACGTGACAATTTTATAGTTTTCTGCTACTTTCAGACACTAATTCTACCACAACATACAATGTTGCCAAGTTTTGCATAGCAGCAATCAAAATTTGTCAGATGATACAAAAGCCAGCTTTAAGGCATATTTGATTTTTTAAGTTGAGTTTTATGTTATGATAGTTTTAGTTATATATTAACTTTTATGAGCTTTTTTGTATGTATATATTTATTTATAACTTTTATAGAGTTATAAATAATTATAAACTGTGACTAAAGTTAGCCTTTTTTCCACTACTGCTAGAGACCAAATTATATCAGCTTGCTTAAAAGTTATTGGAATTTCACTCCTTAGGATAATCCTTTTTTCACTAGGTTTTGAAAATGCTCATAGCATCTTTAAAAAGCATATTTGGGATACTGATTTCCAATCAGTTGAACTCTGGTTCCCTGTTTTGCAGATCTTTATCAGGTCTTTTCAAATGAGCATGCATCAGCCTGATACCTAGTTTCTATCATAGTCCTGAAATTTTGCCAGATTGTCACTTTGGCCAGGCAGAATACATTTCCTTCTATGGTCCTGAGGAGACACTACAAAAATATTTCCTCACAACATTAATGTGCTTGTAGAAACATCTCTGTAGTCCTTAAACCATGTAGCTTTTCATTGTCCTTTCTAAAGAGAATTCCCAAAACAGTTTATCTATCCTATACTGCTGAAATTCCCTGGCAGAGAGCTTGACTTCTAGTTATCATTTCTCAGGTCTGACTATTGTTTTAAAAAATCCTGCTGGGTTACCTGATTCAAACCACCATCTGTACCATCTTCCTTTCCTGGGGACTGAAATATATATTAATGTATTTTTTGTTTTTTAATGCATACACACACACGATGGCTGACCTTATGGTCAGATTTGATTCTATGTAATTTTATGTAGTTTGGCTGAGTTTTCTTGTATCAAAATATAAAAATAACAGGGTGGCAAATAGTAGGTAAACAACATTGGTGTGTCACGATAGCATTAAAACTAGTGACTTGATTTATATAATTATACCTTATTATTATTCCAAAACTATAATGTTGAAGTTTCTGTCTTTTACAATTGTAGTATATGCTTAAGTGTTAATCATATTAGAAAGTCAAGATATACATTTAAGACAAAGAAGTACATATTGAGGTCCACTAAAATATTATTAAGTAATTTAGTAAGTTAATTTATATTCTATACCACCATATTTCCTAAAGAATCATAGCAGTGCTACAGCTTTGATATTTTATAAAGATGGGCATATTTAGCAAATCTACTGTCTGCTTTAACTTTCCAAATGAAAATGCTGAGATTCTTGAAAGTAAAGCAGATTTCTATGAACAGGTTTTCAAAATATTTGGTCCACCACTTGGTAGATTGTCATGAATTGCATTACTACCACTACTTAGTAAATAGTTTACAGTGTACATGCAAAATAATTGGCATTTATGGAAACAAAAGTGAATTGTATTAAGGAATATTCATATTAATAGCATATTTCTATAGTGTATTAACTGGATGCATATTGTAAGCTAGAAATGCCACTTATTCATTCAGTCTTCTTCACAAGATGGATTTGTTTTTATAACAATTTCTGTCATGTGCCATTTTTTGGTTATTTAGGGCTTGCAGTTCTTAATTTTAAAAGAAAAGTGCAGCTATTAGGCATTAGGTCTCACTGCTCTATCATTTAGTAAGGTCCTTGCTTATCAATGGAGACCGAGTGGAGCAAGTGGCCAGTTTTAAGTTTCTGGGTGTTACCCTAAAAGAGGACCTGACCTGGGGTGCCCACATTGCAGCCCTGGTCAAAAGGCCCCAGCAGAGATTATACTACCTGAGACTTCTCAGAAAACAACAACTGAATGAAAAACTGCTGGTGACCTTCTACCGCTACACCATAGGGAGCATTTTAACATACTGCACCTCTGTATGGTTTGCCAATTGCACAGTGGCAGATAGGACAGCACTCCAGAGGATTAACATCATTACCCAGAGGATCATTGGTTGCCCTCTCCCCTCTTTGGAAGAGCTTTATAGCTCCCGCTGCCTTAAGAAAGTTCAAAACATTCTCAAAGCTCCATCTCATTATGGGCACCCTTTTTTTTGAACTATTACCATCTGGCAGACGGTACAGAATAATAAAAACAAGGACAAATAGGCTGAAAAACAGCTTCTATCCCAGGGCAGTAGCTCTTTTGAATTCTACTGTATAGTGCAGTATTGGTGCAGTGTCGGGGGGGGGGGGGGGTTCAATGTGTGAAGGGTGAAGGATGTGTGTTTGTGTGTATTTTCATGGTCATGGTCATGATGTGCACTGAAGATGGTGTTTGATTTCGTTGTAGGGGGTGCAATGACAATAAAGTAAAGTAAAAAAAAGTTCTCATTAAATATAGTGGATAAAAAGTGACAGAAAAACCTTTGAGCATACTGAAACATCTTTGAACAAAATGATTATCAGAAATAAGTATCAATGGGAAAGAAAATCTGGGTTTTCTATTTTGTTCAATTTAATGTTAATGATAGTACAGGTAGTCCTCAATTTACAAAAGTTCATTTAGTGACCATTCAAAGTTACAACTGCACTGAAAAAAGTGATTTATGACCGTTTTTCACAATTACAACCTTTGCAGCATCACCCATTACCAGGTGATCAAAATTCAGATGCTTGGCAGCTGGCTCACATTTATGATGGTTGCTGTGTCCCAAGGTCATGTGATTCTCTTTCGCGGCCTTCTGACAAACAAAATCAATGGGGAAGCCAGGTTCACTTAACAACCAGGTTACTAACTTATTGATTGTAGTGATCTGCTTAACAATTGACAAGAAAGATCATAAAATGGGGCAAAACTCACTTAACAAATGCCTCACTTAACAACAGAAATTTTGGGCTCAACTGTGGTAATAAGTCAAGGACTACCTGTATTAAGATCTTATTTTTGATATTAATATTCCATCACTGGAAACTGGATAAAATGTTTAAAATGTCCATTCCTTCTTCCACTGAAGCCCTGATCAAATATACTTCTATACTTCTTTTGGAGACGCTTCCTGGTAAAATCCTGTATCAATAGGTTATAATGTATGGCTTTTGGAACCATATGAGTTGGCATACTCGCATTGTAAAAATTTCTATCACATTATTGCTAGGCCTATAAAAATAAGTTATTAAGCAGGAGTCCCCCATGTTGATATAGAACTTTGTGAACATATTGAAGTGGAATTGTGCCAGAGGAAATAATCCAATATATTTAAGAGAGATAGGACCAAGTACTCCTTGTAGGTTTCCTTTTGTAAAATTTGCAGTAGTAAAAAAGAGTTATTAGAATGAATAATCCAATTAAATAAATGCAATTTTATATTCCTGAAATAGTTATCTTGTTATCATCACATGATAGCAAGATAACTATTCCAGGAATATAAAATTGCATTTATTTAATTGGATTATTGGATTATTCATTTCGCACCAACGTAGATCTGTGTTTTATACCTCATTATATTAAATTGTAATAATAACAATAACAAAACAACAACAATAATAATACAATTATGTATTTATTGCTTTACAACAACTGCTGATGAAGTGATACACTAAACTGTGTTCTATTTCTTTTTCCTAGCCTATTGGTGCTCTTAATCCCAAACGAGCTGCATTCTTTGCAGAACGCTACGAAACCTGGGAAGATGATCAAGTCCCAAAGTTTCATTATGGCACTCATTATTCAACAGCCAGTTTTGCACTCACTTGGTTGTTAAGAATTGTAAGTGTGTATTAGAATGTTTTTATGTATATGCATAAAGAAGGTACTCAATGGTTAGATAAGGTGGGTTCAATACTTTATGTGGAATCATGCAACTGAATAGGTTTGTTTTTAGATCATGAGAAATAAAGTACCATATTTTTTGCACTATAAGATGTTCCGGAACTTAAGACACACCTAGCTTTTGGGGAGGAAAATAAGAAAAAAAAAATCTGCCTCTGCCTCCCAGCATCCACTGGCATTCATCTGGCTGGCATCCTTACAGCAAACAGCCTGGTCAGCTTCAGCATGTTATTGCAGCCTGATTCAGCATGAGCAGCTGATTGGCGGTTGGATCAGCCTTCCGGATATTGCCAATCAGCTCTTCCAGGCTAATCACTGCCATTTGGCGGCGGCGATCAGTTGTGGCGGCGAATAGCGGCAATCAGCGATGGCGATCCCCACCGCCTGGAAAAGCTGATCAGTGGTATTCTGGAATGCCAATCCAATTGCCAATCAGCTGCTCGACAGCAAAGTCTACAACATTCCCCAATGGCAATTGCAGTTACAGGCGGCGGCAATGAATGCTGCTGCCTCACCAACCTCCTCCCCCTGCAATATTCGCTCCATAAGACGCACAGACATTTCCATCCACTTTTTTTTGGGGTGGGGGGAGTGCGTCTTACAGAGCAAAAAATTATACTTCATAAAAAAGGAAGGTAGAGTAGCCTTTGGATTTTTTTTCCAGTTTAAAACTGTGATTTGGTTATATGACCATTATTTAATCTGGAATGTAAAGTTCTTCTGCAGATATAATAGAATTTTTCCAATAATATATACTTGTAGATAACATGCAGTTGGATGGATTGATATATTGATGAAATGAACCAGGTTTCTGTAAAATAAACTGGAATTATGATTTACCTGATAGAAACTAATTTCTTTGGGAAAGCATTAGCAAGACGTCATTAATTAATCCTTGTTAGATTCATACAAGCAGACATAAATCCTAGCAGTAATTTATGGTACTTAGCTAATTTCAAGCAATTATCATCTAATATGTGCTTAGGTATCTTTTGACAAAGAGGAAATTTTTTTCAGTTGTTAACATTTTTCTCTCTTAATTGTTAACTATTTGCAGGAAGGTATGTGTGTATGTATAATATTCGTCGGGAAGATTTAGCTGAATAACAAATCTGCTAATATCCCTTATTTGAAGATTGCTTGTATTATGTCAAAGCTATTTAAATATCTTGGATCCATCTCTAGATGTCTTTTAATTTCTGTTCTGTATACAGTTAAGTGTATGTAAATGTTAGGTTGAATTATAACTGTAGTGAATGCACTAATGGAATAATAGAAGAAATACGGAAAATCTGCAACCTAGATTTTTCAGCAACCCTCCAAACAACACTGTAATATAGGTTTCTCTTTATATATTTTTGAAATGAATAGCTTGCATTATTATTTTTACTTCTTTCCAGAAACAAAGTATATCATTCCGTTCAGACAAGGTGAAGTACAGGTAGTCCTCAAGTTACGACCATGACTGAGCCCAAAATTTCTGTTGTTAAGTGAGTTTCCCCCCATTTTATGACCTTTCCAACACTGTTGTAAAGTGAATCACTGCAGTTGTTCAGTTAGTAACATGGTTGTTAAGTGAATCTGGCTTCCCCATTGACTTTGCATGTCAGAAGGTTGCAAAAGGTGATCACATGACCCCGGGACACTGCAACGGTCATAAATATGAGTCAGCTGATAAGCGTCTGAATTTTCATCATGTAACTATGGGGATGCTGCAAAGGTTGTAAGTGTGAAAAATGGTCCTAAGTCACTTTTTTCCGTGCCTTTGTAACTTTGAATGGTCATTAAACAAATGGTTGTAAGTTGAGGACTACCTGAATTAGAAATATACAAAAAAGAAACTGCTGCTGCTTCACAAAGTATTTCATTTTCCTTTTTAATCATGTTTTTAGGAGCCTTTTACAACATTTTTCCTACACTTGCAAGGTGGGAAGTTTGATCATGCAGATAGAGCTTTCTCATCAGTTTCAAGGGCATGGCGTAATTGTCAACGTGACACATCTGATATCAAGGTAAAGCAAAATTTAAACTTTAAAATGTTGTGATGAAGGTAATGATGATTATTTTTCAGTGTGTAGAACTTTGAAGAATATAAGAGGTCCCTTATTTGAAATGATTATAATATAACTTTCAAGTAGGAACGTGGGAATTGAATTATCCTTTGTGTTTTGAACATGCAGGACGAATATTTGAATATTTATAACAATAGAATTGTTTAGTCTAACTTGGAAATAACTCAATACTGTTATAATAACCCAATACTGGGCTGGTGATATTTTTGTCAAACCATGACACTGAAATCTTTTAAAACAGATAGGTTATTCCTCAGCTTTGATGTAAAAGAAAGAATAAATATCTTCCTTAGCTTCTAAACATTTTTGAACTATAACATGGAGATATATACTGAGATCAATGAACAATCACTAACACCCAAGATACTAGCAAAATGGCAAAGGTGGATATCTGTCACAAAGTCAAGCAAATCGAATTCATGTATGTCTGAACTCTAATAGCATTTGCCAAAAGGTCAAAGTAGCCACTTAGTGATATAGTTTACTTGAAAAAAAAAAATTAAACATGATTTCATAAAAGAATGACATGATGTTCTCATCGAAGTATAAGACAGATTCATCAACTTCAGGATTAAGATCCAGATTGAATCATGTTTTAATGGCCTGATGTCAGTGATGCTTCCCCCCACCCCACCTTATAAGGTCAAAGTTATACATTTAAAACTTTCTCTAAAACAGCCATTTGGACCTAAACTGCTATAGCAGAAAGCTTTCTCTGCCATCTCTGTAGAATTGTCTGTCTAGACAGGACACTTGCAAACATGCACAAGCCAATCAGGAAGGCTTTTAAGTCTTGCAAGTCTTCCATATTAGATTTAAACAGTCTCCACAGTTAGGGTGAACTGAAGTTTTATAGCTCTTTGGCTATCACACAGGTATGTTAGGCTGTCTAATACCAGTTTTAAATTACTGTCAATGCTGGACCACAGAAGAACTAAACCACTGATTATTTTAACTGGAGGGAAGCTACTGGGGTTTTGCTAGTGACTTATTTTCCTGGTTGTTCCAAGGATTTTGCTTGTTTTATAATGACAGCTATTCTTGTCTAGTACTTTCACTGTCCACACAATCTTAATCTTAGTATGCAAGATATGGACAATACGGATTGTTTGCTCTGTTTGAGACTTTTTTTAATGACACTGTCTGGCTGAAGTAACTCAAGAACAGTGTGGATTCTGATAGTGATGGTATTATATAATCAGTACTAATTTTTTTTTACAATTTATCTGTGAGATACATGAACATCAGGATTCCAGCATTAAATGTATAAGCTGGTTATCCAGGCTAACAGTAAACATGGCAAAACTTGTGCATTATTGACCCTAGATCAGTGGTGGGATTCACATTTTTTTACTACGGGTTCTGTGGGCCTGGCTTGGTGGGCATGGCAGGGGAAGGACACTGTAAAATCTCTAGTCAGAGGTCGTATTTGCCGATTCTCCAAATTACTCAAAATTTCCACTACCAGTTCTTCAGAACTGGTCAGAACCTGCTGAATATCACCTCTGCCCTCGATCTATTGGTTTATTAGAGTTTTGTGTCTTTAATTATTTGTGGATTCATTCTGTTTTTATTCTGGTTTTTTTTACTTTCACCTTGTAATCACAGTATATCTAAGAGGTCTAAAATTATGAGAAACTGTAAATAATACTTGAAAGAATTGTAATTAATGTAATCATGTTCTTAACATTGTTAGAAATGTCCATCTCTCTTAAAGAGAGTTTTTTTTAAAAAAAATTCATTTGTCTCCTTTATGGGTTGGCAGGAGCTGGGGCAAGGATAGGAGCTGAACTCGTCATGCAGTTCTTGCAAGGTTTGTTGACATGTCAACAAACCCAGTGTCTTAACTGCTAGGCCCCTGCTTTGATATAATCTATACAATATTTTCAAGTTAGGATTTGGCTAAGATTAAATAGGTCAAGTATACTAAGGAGTTGATTTTTAACGACTGTGTGGTAATTTTGCATACCAAACCGAGAAATAATCAGTGTCTACATGCTTAATCCTTAGTTGACTTGTAAGAAGAGTTTCATGCACTCACACTAGAATCTCTATTGATCCTATTGTCACATAATCAACAACAGCAATCAACTGCAGTGCAACAATCAGATAGATAGATAGATAGATAGATAGATAGATAGATAGATGATAGATAGATAGATAGATAGATAGATAGATAGATAATAGATAGATAGATAGATAGATAGATAGATAGATAGATAGATAGATAGATAGATAGACACACAGAAAGAGTAAGAGAGAGAGAGAAAGGGAGAGGGAAAGGAAGGGAGAGAGAGAGTCAATGTTTAAATTCTAAGGTTATTCATCATCTT